GTTTTTGTGTTTTCCTTCTCGAAGCGCACATGAATGCCTGTAGCTTTTTCTTTAGTAAATGTTTAGCAATTGTTGTAGTCCTATTCTCTATTATCAGTGTTTGTCATTGTTTTGTATTTGTGCAAGTCTTGTGCGTTTAAATGTTTATATGTTTAGTGTTTTTATGATTCACATACATTTAAGCATATTAAGTGTCTGCGTTCATTCTTGCTTTGACCAAATCGTATACACAATATCAGTGTGTAGTTTATGTCAGTTTGTGAATGTGTAATAACCCATGTGTTTGTTCTTGCTGGCTTCACCTCACAACTGGTCGTCCTATCGACCATCCTTGTCTTAGAAAGCTTAAAACACAACAAAAATAAGGGTAAAAATCACCAACATTCAGCCCTGACATCAAGCCAAAGACGACCCTCTTCTTGCGCGGAGTCCAGGGTTCGAGGCCAACCACGACCACCCAACTATGTTTCAGATCGTGACGACCTTAGGCTCAGAGTCTGTGTCCAGCTTCACCTCAGCCGAAGACGTCCGGATGCTCCTGGGGCAGAGTGTGCTCCAGCCCCACAGCATGTAGTGAGGCAGCTCAGGGGCGCCGCCGCCACACCATTACCTGTGTAAGGTGGACGCGAACACGTATTCTTGCATTGGGTATGACACTGCACCCCCTCCTTTGACCGCCTTTCACTCCTTGTGTTTTCTCTTGTTTCTTCTTGATCTGACCTGTCTCCTTTACAACAGAAAGTCACACACACGCACACTAACTCACTCACTCATTCTCACAGTGTATGACTATTAATGAGCACAGTATAACATTCCCTTCTCTCTCTCTTATCGTCAATATCAAACCTTTCTTCCTGTCTGTGACTATACTTCTGAATTCTGTTCCACGCTTCATTGAGGCAACTCTGAAGCCCAAATTTCCCCCTCGACTGTTGGGATCCAGTCGCATGTTTGTGAGGACTTGCAGCACCAGGTATGCACGCCGTCATCGCTGAAATGTTCTTTTCCTGAGGTCTCTGGCTTCCGTGTTCTGCATGGTTTGACTTGCGAATTGAAGGTCTTGGTTGGGTTTCTGTTTGTAATTGTTTTCTGTTGTTTCTTTAATTTCGTGTTGTCTTTGTTATTTTTTATGATGTCCTGTTTTGTTATTTGTCTATTTATTCTTCATCTCGTTATTCTCATTTTTCACTCTGTGGTTATACCTTCACTATTATGGTTTTCACTTCAGTTTGTATTGTTTGTGTATACATTTACCCCTTTTTGAATTAACAATGCCCTCATTGATAATTACTTAAACAAATATAATTCTTAAATTAACATTTCCTGCATTAAAAATATAATTATATTTGCATCCAATTAACCAGACGTTCCGCGGACTGAGGTGCAAAATCTCGTTGGTTTTGCATAGAAACTCTTGAAAGGACTATTGACTGGATTCATATTTGTCAAGAAGATTGTTAGAGTGAAATACATGTCAGGTTCGAATTTGGTTACAGTAAACCAATTTTGCGAAGCTTTATGGACCTTCCTCGACTTAAATTTTGCACCCGAGTTCGTTGGACGGATTGTAATTATGAGTAAGATTATTAGCATCCCCAATATTTTCCTAGGTGATTCCCAATGGCATTGCAGTAATATTACAATATCTACAAGCTCATCAGTCAGGGTGATCTAGAATCTTTGATTTAAATACCCGAATTATATAAAGATATAAAAACGAGACATAACTTTTCGTTCATTTTACGGCCCTTCGCCTTTTCCCTATTTCGCACGTCCTGAAATTGACACAAAACTAATGATAATGTTTCCGCACAGATTATCGGTTTATTAGGGCGAGACGTGCAGGGACGAACGCACAAGCCCGGAGTTAGCACGAAGGCAGGGCTCCGGCCGCAAGATCTCCTCGGCCTCAGCGCCCTCACCAGCATCCCGCACAGTCTGTAGACATCGCCGCCGAAGAAGTCCCCGAAGAAGTCCCTCTCGTGTCCGATTACCTCCGATACGACCCGCGTGGTTGTCTCTCCCCCAGTTTGTTAACACGGCTCTGGCAGTGTTTTGTTTGTTGTTAGGAAGTGTGTTTTTTTTTTTTTCCTCGTTTTTAATATCTTCCATTTTACGTGTTTTTTTTATACCTTTCTTTTTAAATGTTTCGTTTTTGTATTTAAATCCTGGAGAATAGAGGATGATAAATTCCGTTTAACAGGAGAGAATTTGAGATCATGTGTTTTGTGATAGTTTCAGATCACCATTTTTAGCATAACTTCTTTCATCAAAAGACTGCTGCATTTTGAGTGGCAGAAACTGTAAATAGAATCCATTCTTAAGTCGCTAAAGACCCACAACAATCATTAGAGCATCACTTCTCTTTTTTTTTGACATTCCTAATAACAGTAATGATAATTCCCAATACAAAGGTGTGATAATGACTTTAATATTTATTCACATTCACCGTTGATCATCCGTCCCTTGTAAAAGTGTAAAGCCCCATGGTAAATGTTCA